TTTTGTTTGCTCTTTGCACATCCGCCTTGCTTTGCATGTGTTAGTGCTAGTTTGCTTGTAGTTTGTGATCTTGTATTTGTCCACTCATTCTTTTTCTGCAATGCCGCTGTATATGTAAGTCAATCAATCAATCAATCAATCAGTGTGTGAATAGGTCGTGCAATTGGTATCTTTTTTTTGCCCCCCGTGCCCCCAGCTTTTCTCCATGTTTTATTTTTATTACATTTTTTCTTTGTTAATTATCATTGAAGCGTTTTTCCAACACAGCGCAGGTCACTTCAACTAACATTGCTTTTGAACTTTTTGATCTCTTTTATTGCTATCAAACATTGTTGTTGGTTGTAGTGTTATTTCTATTGACTCCTGTTGTTTCAAATTGCGTATGGGTGTGTGTGCACTTCTTTGCTTAGTGCTTAGTGTTGGTGTGTGATTTTTTCATCTGAATATCAGTGACCCTTTTTCTTACTTGGAAACACCTGTTCAATATTTTCATTTGTTCGAAGTGAGTATGTGTTTATTGTTGTTGTATCATAAATGAAAATCTAGTCCGTTATTAGCGGAAGATGTATCGTTACCTTGTTTTGACAGCAATATCCTATAGTATTCCGATATCAGCGCTTCTGACAAACGAGCAGCTTCTTGACGAAAAAAGACGTATGCGGATTTTTAGAATGATATCTCCAAAATTTAGGCACTTGTTCGCATATATACAAACGGATGAACATACAGACGGACATAAATAAAATAAAAGACATTCTCTGCCGAAAAATGGCTTTATTGTTAGCCACTAAAGTGCACTTTACTCAGCGGCATGCCTATTTATTTAGTCTAGGTATGTATTATATATTTTGGAAAACATTTCGCTGTACTTGTTAGAATGTAGCAGAAAAGCACAATAGTTTAATAGAACAATGCGCAAATAAGCCACAGACACAAAAAGAGTACACCACACTGCCGAAAGAATGCACTCATTAAATACAGTGGAATATGCTACATACATATATGTATAAATGTTATATGAAAAATAAAAATCAATGCAACACAACAAAAAAACTTTGCCGAGCAGAAACAATGGGCGCAATATTAAAATACCACAGACGTGCTTATAAAAATGAAATACTATATGTATGTAATGTCTGTATGTACATATGTATTGGTATATTTTTCCAAATGCGCTTCGCGATGGAATGCAATTTAGTTGAATGGCCTACAAAACACATACAGATGCAAACAAGTTTTTACGAATACGCACGCGAAGGATTATGTCCATTTTCGAAGCCTTGAAAATTATGAAATAATGATAAACATATATGTCCTGGGTGCCGAAAAGTACGATAGTAAGTCTTTAATAGCTTTTTATTCGTACGAATGTTCAATTTTTTTGCATCTATATATACATTTTTTTATATTTTTGATCAAGTAATTCTGTATAGCTCCTATTGATAAGAAAATCACTTTTTTATAAAAAGTTCACTACATTCACATATAGTATATCATTGTCTTAAGCACTCCTCTTCCTTTAGCCCACTTTAAGCACCAACTTGAATTTCAACTAACATATCTGGCATATACTGACCGACTTTCCCTCGAAATCATTTTTGAATTAATCATTCGTGTGCCAATAATATATATATATATATTCACATGCATATGTATGCAAACCAAACATGACTTTGGCAAGCTCCATTGACAGCTAACACATCCATTTGAACCTCCGACTTTAATGGCAAATAAATTAGCTGCGGTGAGAGGAAGCAGAAAGAGCATGAGTGAGCATCAACGAATAGGCGGAGGATCAACAATTCACATCTTATACTAGACATAGAAACATATAAACCAACCACAGCAGCTGCTGTCGGGCAACGAAATAAAGGAGTAAAGAGAGAGAGAGAGAGATAAAGGTAGAGCGAAAGAGACAGCTCATGTTGAATGCAACAATAAATCGAAATTCATGCTGTGGTGGGAGAAATAAATCCAACTTTGATTTATGAGCGCTAATAGTATGGAATATAGTACAAAAATATACACACAGAGATGAGGTGCCACATTAGTAGAAACATATATAGATATAAAATATATTTAGCGCTTACATAAACATTTATATAAAGCCTAGAGTGACAGTGGCACACTACACACTACTAATCATGCGTGGGTGGCTGTAACTGTTTAATTTTATGTTGTATGTGTGTGTATGTATCTGTGGGCCTATATGGTATTATATGCATTGTTGGCTGTCTGCCATTATATGTCTATTTACATTGTGACAGCTACTAAAGCCATTAAATGCAAATGCTCTCACAGATCCACATATACACATGTATGTATATGTACGAGTATTACTCATACACTTACATACTCTAATGGTACATTTATATTAGTTAAACAAATCGTAAAGTTTATTGTCTCTGTTAGCTTTGTAGGGATGACGCCTGCTATTTGGCTAGTTAGCATTAGCCAGCAACTTGTAAAATTACCTAAAGAACCACAAAATTTGAATGAGCCTAAATGTATGCTAAATGCTTAATTTAGTGAAGCTTTGCAAGGACTATTTGAAGCAAAATCTAACTCGAAACCAAATTTTAAGGCATTATTTTTATAAAATTTTAATATTGACCAATTTATGCAGTAAACCTGTTTCTGAAACGTAAATTAACAGTCGCGACGCTTGTCGGAACACAATTTTCAATTTCAAATGACGCGCGAGTCAATTCTTCACTAAGATACCAAAACAATTTTCTTACTTAAATTTATAATAAATTATTTTGGTAGTCTTTATTTTTTTTTTTATCACAAAAGAGCTGATAAGTTGCGACTGTACCTTGTATAATGTATGGAGTGCAATATGAAAATTATTGAAACAATACAAACTAAACAAAGCAGTGCTTAGAGGATGGTAATCTTACCACAATGATCAGCAACAATAAGAAAGTGAAAAATAATACAAGATATGTTACACAAAGAAACATTTTTTGATTCAAGAAAAGTGACAAAAATTTTCATTTAAGTATTACGTTCCAGCACCATTAGTACTTAGCACACTTACTTTCACACAAAAGCAGTCAAACTCACTTATACTTATAGGTGTGTGGTAATCTAGCTGCAGAGATTACCTTGATTGCCCCAGCAACCACAACAGCACTTTGTGTAATTTAGATAAAAAATACATTGTTCTATTTTGGCTCGCAGCCATTTAAAAAAGGTAGGTCATACTTATATGGAATCTTCTATGGGTGTGTACATATAGTATACTCATATTTTTTTGTAATTCGGAGGCCACTTCTTTTGTTGGTTTAACTAAACACTGTTGCTCTTCGCAACCATTGTTACAGTACATGTCTACCAAAGGCTTTTAGTATTATTGTTTAACGATGAGTTTGTCCGATGCGCTTAGTTGTATGCTTTTGTGAATATTTTTACGTGGTTTTTTAATGCTATATATACGCAATTTATTTATAAAGTTCTTTGTTGGCTGTAAGTTTTTGAGAGTTATTGGCTTCATTTATATAATGAGTATAGCACTTTGAGAGCATATTAAGCTGAAGTTTTTATATTTGTGTTATAGTACAATCGAGGTGGCCTACATTTAGGCGCAAATTAATCAAAACATAACATTTTTGCTATGTGACTATCGCAGTAGCTCACATAAATATGCTTGTGTGCAAGCTATTGCTCCCTACAAGATATAACTTAATGTAAAACAGGACAAACAAATATTCTCGGCGGATTCACGATGGAATTTGTTGTTTTTTTATGCTATATATTTATAGATTTGTTTAAATTAATCAACATATTAGGGATACATTTTCATTTAGTTAATATATTTATGTAATTATCAATATATTAAGCATAAGTGTGTGCTTATTTTGAGCAGCCACTAACAATTTCCTTTATTATAGCCTAAATTGCTGCTATATTTTAGCATAATATTCATAGTATTTATTTAATATATTTGTGTTTATGTTTTAGTGTTACTACTGTGTAATGCTACAAGAATAATATATCAAATATAACAATAAGCCTTTTGTTTGCCACTCCTTCGCCAAGTAAATATTCTCCTTAACTGCTAAGTATTGCCCACATTTCATGCTTTTCAACCTTTTGTGAAGAGTTTTGCCTTTTGTTTCACGTCTTTTGTGTGTACAACTTATTCGTGCAAATCGAGGTTTCGTCCAACACCTCCAAAGACTTCATAAATATTGAGCGGCTCTCAAAACTTCTGTATTCAAAGTTAAATACAAACCACTCAGGTGTGTCCGCTGCCGCCTTCTTTGTTGTTAAATTGATTACTATTGTTGTTGCATTATACAAATATATGTAATTTACATCATATTATATATATTTCCTTTGCAAATACTGGCGATAAGAAGGGTATACTTATGCAAAATAAGATATTTCAATTAGTTTTTAATGAATTGTTAAATCTCTCGGCGCTGTTGTTTTACGTTTAATAGTACTTTGTGCTAAAACGCCTAAGTGTATGCAAAAGTTTAATTTAGTATGCGGAAATCTACGGTTATTTGGTTTATGTGTGGAGAAAACCATGAAAAAATAGTGTAATAAATTGCTCTGAATGGAAGGAGAAACTCTTTCGTATGTATATGTGTGAAAGTGAGTAACTCAAAAAAATTTTTTTTTGTTTTTGAAAAAAAAAACGAATTATTTAAAAATGCATTAAGGGTATTTTTAAAACTTTTATAGTTTAATTATAACGAAAATATTTGGAAATTTTACATTAATAAAGTTCCAGTCCTAGTCTTTTTACTTACTTACTTAACTAAAATATTTCAAATAAAAAAACAATTTCTTTTCAACTTATTATAATACATTATTTTCATAATAATTATTATTTAAATAAATATATTTTATTGTTTTTATATCATTATTTATTTTAAATTAACTTGAATATAAAAACAATATTTTTATATTAATTTGCTAATATAAAAAAGATTTTAAATACAATTTTACACTAATTAAAAATATTATTATTCTTCTCCTTGCAGATTATACAAATTTTGTATTCTAAGAAATTACACACACAAACATGTTAATTCAACAGGTAAGCGCAAATTTAATAAAATAATAGATTAAAAATTGTCACAAAATTAAAAATATTTTTTATATAGTCTTTAAGAAATATTTGCAGTTTTGTATTGCAACAGCTGTAGACCTGCAAGTGATCCGAATTAAGCATTTTCAATGCCTTCAAAATATAATTTCCATATATTATATGTATCTAGGGTAAAACACAGTTTAAGTGTATGTGTTTGTGTGTGATTTTATAAGGCAGAGAAGAACACTGACAATTTAAATTCAACCAATGCTTCTATTTTTATATTAATAAATACACATATAAATGATGTCGGAAATGATGTTCATGAAAGCACTCACATCCGTTCACTTTTCTACAATTACAATCATATAACTACAAAGCGGCCATCACTGCACACTTTTCCAACAATCATTGACTGCCAGTGCTGTTGTTGTTGTTGGCTTGCAGTAGACAAAGCGCAGCCAGCACTGCTGTCAAACGAAAATACACTTAGCAATTCAACACACTCACGCGCACGCACTTACTATATACATTGTCAAAATTTTTGAATAATATTTTGTTAATCATGTTTATTTGCAACTTACTCGTAGATAGAAAAAAATTTAAATAGTGAGTACGAAATTTTTGACATAATATTTTATGAGTGTTTTTTTTTTATGTAAAAAATTATATATAACTAATACTAAAATCCAATGTATGCACGAATTATGCTAGTAATTAAAAACCAAAATGTTTAAAATTTCCTACAGGGCTTAGAACATTTTTTTTTTGGTACATAGCTATGTTCCACATAAATATATTTCTGCAAAACTTCAGTTAATATGTTTTTATTTTTCAAATACAAGTCGTCTACAAATTTCTTTGGTGCCTCTACACCTGACATAAATATTCACCCAAGCTCAAAATTCTTATACGATTTATTATATCCACCTAAACTATCATTCGACAGTAACTTTGTCTCAAATTGCGCACAAATGAATGCAATAAATGATCACCAAACAATAAAACACACGCAGCTAACTGTCAACTGCAGCAGCCACCATACATATTCATGTTCCGTTATACGCATTCATGTGGATATGAGCACTACACTGCTGTTATATAAAACGAAACTTGTCATTAATCGAAATCGCATGCCATTGACATGTAAAAGCCCACACATACAGCGACATATATACACTAGGGTGGGTCAAATAAAAATCGATTATAGTTTTACTATATACTTTAAAAGATTTCTACAAATATAAGAAACGATATATTTTTCAAATAGTAGATGCTGAGATATGAATTTTCTCTCAATTAATAACGAAAACATAGGAAACTAAAAAGCAGCTGACATTTCATTAGTATTATGAGCTCACACTTGTAGAGAATATTTTTGAGATGTCTACCAACCAATTTTTCAGAGTATGAGGCGAAAAATAAAAAAAATTTGTTTACCCACCCTAACACGAAATATAGCCATGCTTGCTTGTACGAAAGACCGAACAACTACAAACGCTCGCAAATGTTGCGAAATAAATCTCCTGCACATTAGTAAACACATACAGGTATATATATGGGTACGTGAGTTTGTGTGTGTGTGTGTGTGTGTGTGCCTGTGTGTGGTCAGCGATAACAAACTGTATTGAATGATTGCAATTGTAGTAAAGTGCTATAGAACAATAAACTTTGTTACTGTTTTTCGTTGTTCATTATACTCGCTGACCTGTTATTACAACACTTGCACAACAACAACTTTAACTGTTTTTACATTAAGTATTATGTTCTACAAACAAACAGTGTGTGTTTGCATAGTGATATATTTATTTATATATATACAGATGTATTTCCATATAAGTAAATGTTGCGTCTTGCTCGTTTATTTGGTATGTCACTCATACGCCGTGGCATTCACCCAAAAAAATCATTCGTATCCATGTGGCTATACATTTGCTTGGCTGTTGTGCACCCATACAGCTTTATATTTATATTGGATCTTGTTAGTTGCATACTAGCGGCAATTGTAAGCACTATTTGCAGTTGTATGGATAACTTTTGAAATTATTCTTTATAGCGACTTATTTTGATTACATTTTCTTTTTTTGAGTTACTACTGATCGCTTGTGTATGCAAAATTATGGCATTTATTGACAAATAATTTGCTTGCATTTCATATTTTAAACCCTCTGACAGCAATTCTATTACATTTCTTCTTCTTATGGCTCACACATTTTTCTGTACTATTTTCTCTTTGCTGTCATTTGCTAATGTTTTTCAGACTGTTCTTTGCTATTGAAATCTGCTAGTAGCAATATTTTCTTTCTTCCTTGCCTTCATATAGTAGTTTCTTCATTGTGTTGCGCAAAGTTTTTTCCTGTGTCTGAAATTGAGTCATTTGTTACACTTTTAATGGCCATAGTTCAGTGGTTAAAGCGGTTATGCCAAACCAAATAAGTTAGGGAGCATGACAGATGTTATAATTACAATGATAGCAATAGCACAATACACATATACATATATATAAGATGTGGATATCTTTTTATAAGAAAAATAAATTAAATATATGCTCCTATATTTACTCATGAAATTAAAGGAAAAGTATTTATACATGGACTTGGAAAAAATTCCGTTATATTTTATAACAAGAGAAGCAAAATATTTTTTTTTGCGCATTTAGACTTGTCGACGTAGATACAATATACAATTTTTAGCAAATTTGTTGTCTGAAGTATAGATATAATAGAAATAATATATTTATGTTAACCATCACTCCTTATAAAATGAAAAATAATAATTCTAAAATTTTAAATCTTATTCAAACAATATCCAAAAACAAGAAAAACGTTAAGTTTTTTAGCACCGAAGCTATAACTTATAATCGTTACTAGCTATATGCTATTTTGATCTAAAATGATCCGATCTGAACAATCTCTTTGGAGATTGCATTATTGTCTCAGATAATAATTTATGTGCTAATTTCGTCAAGATATCGCACCAAATAAAAAACTTTGCCATACAGGCACTTGATTCCGATCGTTCAGTGTGCATGGCAGCTATATGCTATAGTGGTCAGTTATTGGATATTGGTTCCGACAAACGAACTGCTTCTTAGGGAGAGAAGAACGTCTGCAAAATTTCAGATCGATATCGATCGATAAAAACTGAAAGACTAGTACGCGCACATAGATATATTGTAAATTTTATAGGGTCTCCGACGTTTCCTGCTGGATGTTACAAACTTCGTGGCAAACTTATTTTATTTTATTAAGGATATATAATAAAATTAAATACTTAAAAGTATAAAATTAATAATAAAAAGGTACACAATTTTCATGGCAAAATAAGATTTTGACACATCATTATTTAATTTCAAAAAATTTGGCGATTTTAATTTAAATTTTTTTTTTGTTACAATTTTTTTTATGTTTATATTATTTTTTCATTTTTTTTCTTTATTTATTGTTTTTTTTTTATTTTTAACCGTTATAATTTTTTTGCGTGATTTCTTTTGAATAATTAGAAAATCTCAGTTTAAAAGATATTAATTAAAATTAGTAAAAAATATTAATATTAAATGAATTTATTTATGTAATAGCTTAAAAAGGTTAGACAAATATTTAATTCTGTAAAAAAATATATTTATTTTATCTTAAATGTTGACGGATTTAATTTTTTTTTTTTTAAGTTTATATATATGTTTTTTATTTTTTTTATTTTTATATTTATTTTGGAAGATTTCTTTTAAAAATCAGAAAATCTTCATCATCACTTTTTATCAATTACAAAATTTATTTAAAAAATTCTTTGGGTTTACATTTTTTTTTTTTTTGTTTTTTGTAATTATTTACCTCCTTAACCTTTTTGCTTTAAATACAATATCCAATTTAAATATAACTCCCGTTTTAACAGTTTCAATAAACGAATAATAATCATAGACATATGAACGTGTATGTTAATATAGTTTATTAATTGGGATCATTTACCCACTTGTAAAGGCGAACCTACTCAAACTTGGCTCAGAACTCAATTTGTATACGAAACTTTATTACGGCAACTAGACACATTTAATTAACTTGCCATGCATGCAACATGTATACACAAATACATACCATATATACATTAACACTAATAATTGGCACTAGTTGGCGTTAACGGTATGTAGGTGTTATGATGAGTACAACAAATTCAACAAAATGTGGTTAGTAGGCAAGGAAGAGCGACAGTTATAAATATTTCATACAAGTATATATAAGTATAAGTATATACACATTTATGTATAGATATATGTATATTTGTATATGCGAAGCCTCTCTCTGCCTCAAATACTACAACAACTAAACTAGTTGGCAACTACTTTGAGCTCCAGCGAAGTTTGTACATAAATACCGGTATTAATTAACAAACATCTTCATCTGCCACTGTTGTTGAAAGTTAAGATTTACCGTAGCTTAACCGCTTATGTGCTCCTATCTTAGTTGCAGTTGTTGCCACAACTTTGCGGCTTTTCATTATTAAGTTCCAAACTCCTTGAAGTGGCATTGTCGAGTGAATCTTGTCTGTTGGCCTTACAATTGCAAAGGTCAACCAGTGCTGCGGCCGATCAGGTTACAGCGTCAACTGGTAGCAGTTGGGTAGGCTGAAGGAAAGGGAGCACAAGCACAAGGCATGAAGAAATTGCAAGTTGATAAATATATGGATATGTAACAGACTTTGCTACCAAATTGTTTCTTTACCTCCACAGAGTCCACACATCTTCTTCTCACTGCATTTAGTACGCAATTTTCACCTGCCACATGCAAGAGCAGCTCATAAGCTACACAAGCGATTCGTTTGTTTGCTCATTCAGTTTTTTGTAATGCTTTATTCCTTCAATAATGGTTGTAAACCTAAGGCTAAGCACATAGTGCTGCGTGCGGTATAAAAGTAACAAATGCTTAAAGCGCAAACAAACGCAATGCAGTCGTGGAAACATTGAAAACACTTTGCAGACGTAAAACCCGTATTACGCCTACTTACAATCATAG